GGCCGGAGCTGGGAGCTGGGAGCTGGGAGGCGGCCCGCAGCCCAGCCAGCCCAGCTCGGAAAGACGAGATGCGGAGAAAGATTCTCCTACTTCACGCGGGGACCTGGCCTGCCTTCTCCTGCACACACACCTACTTCTTTCGGACAGGTCGTTTTCCAAAAAAGTTCAACTCAAAGAGCCTTGGTAGCGACATGAAGGCCGGAAATAGCCTTTTGTGTCCTAGCGTCCCCCTTCTCCTGCCCACGCTCAGCAGCTCACACCTAGAGCCTCCCTCCACCCTTCTCTTCTTTGTCCTCCATCCCTGCTCCAACCCACACTGATGCAAAGCTTTTAAGAAAATCCTGAACTGAAAAAAAAGATCAGAGGATGGATGGTTAAAGCTGTTGTGATTCTCAGGGGCTTTAGGGAGGCTCAGATTTACTCTATTTAGGAATTTACATTTCACTACCTAGTATCAAAGTTCCTTTAGTAACAGGAATCCCCTCAAACATGTATCAGCGGCCGGGTGAGGGATGAGAAGAGTGTGGATTGACACCGGGTATCTGTTTTACACTGCATATCAGTGTTAAGGAGTATTAGTGTTAGGGAAGAGGAAAAAAGTATTCATGTAGAAGAATACTTGGTGAAAAATAAGTGTTCAATAAATGTTCGTTACATAGGGAACTTGCCAACATGGAAAACTAACAAGTGGTGGAAAGAGTAAATCATTTGTAGCCTAATCCCATGGCTTTCAAGCTTTTTTCTTTTTTAAAACAAGATACATTTTATAACACATACATAATATAAAATTGAAACTAAAATTTCACAAAATCATACTTCCTTTGCCAAATGCATTGTGCTTATCTCATTTAATTCCCTGAGCTGATTAATGACTGATTTAATTCAAAGCTTGAATGATCCATATCAAATCCTAGTTACATTTAAGCAAGTTCTCTTTCTAAATGGTCTGTCCTCTCTTTTTGATATATGGCTTTCTTGTGTCATACATGATTAAATCCTGAAAACTGCCTCAAATCTTTCTGGAGTAAGAGAGTATATTATTTGTAAATAGCATTCTGCTCTTATTAAGCATGTGATACCTCAAGGGCCAGGTAAAAAGCACACAGAACCCAAGAGGTATCACTACTGGAGGAAATTCTGGGACACACTGGTGCTCCTCAAATTACACCCCTAAGTAACCATTCAGGGCTGTAATTTCAATAGACAGGAGGTGGGATGGTCTACAAAATGGGTTGGTTCTTGTCATGAGTTGAGAGGAGTGAAGCAATTGAAGAATAGAATAAAAGACAATTTTAAAATGTCACCTACTTCCAGGATAAAGGAAATAAAAGAATCTAGTCCTTATTGTATACAAAGTGTCAGGCCCTGTCCTTGTTACTTCATATACAAAATCTCACTTAATTCTCACAATAGCCACGTGGATGTCAGTGGTACTGCTTTAAAGGTAAGGAAACTGAAGCTAAAAGAGATCAAGGAACTTTCTTGAGGAGGTAGGGAAAAGGAGAGATGTTGGTCAAAGGGTATAAACTTCCAGTTATAAAATGAAAATGTTCAGGAAATCTAATGTACAGCATGGTGATTATAGTTCACTGTATTATATACTTGAAAATTGTGAAGAGAGTAGGTCCTACATGTTCTCATCACAAAAAAGCAATGGTGACAATGTGAGATGATGGAAGTGTTAACTAAAGCTAGGATGGTAATCATATCACAAAATATGTGTATCGAGCAGCACAATGTTGCATGTCAATAATCTCAATAAAGCTGGAAAAAATATTATGTTCACTGGAATAATAATATTGCAATAAAGATGAAAAAATAAATAAAAAGAGAAAGACACTTGCCTGAAAGGATAAAACAGTATTTGCTTATATCTCAAACAACCCCAAAACAGATACTTTTGTGAAACCCTTTTGTCAAATGACAGAATGCTAAACAAATGTTGATTAGTTATACGTATCACTATTATTTTATAGGAGGCCTGTAAGAAGGGCCCAGGATCCGACTGTTTCTGTTGCCTTACAAGGAAACAATACTGGAAGGTATCCCCAGGAGACAGAGCTATTGCCTTATCATATAGGAACTCTCATTATTGAGTGTCTTTTCAATATAATGTTCTATAGGCCAGATAGTATAGTACAAGTAGTTAATACTGTCTTCCCCCAGATGGGAAGGGCTGTTCTTGAACGCAATGAGGAGAGAGCTCTGCAGCTATACCAGTATTCCAGAATGCCTAATGAAAAATATCACACTTTTTTCTGGAAAAGACTTCGTAGGAAAAAAAAAAAAAGTCAAATGACAAATACCTTTCTCTTGGTTGAGATAATGGTAAGAGAATAGTAATCATCCTATGCTGCTGATCAACTCTGGCAGTGAGAGATGTTCTTAATCTATTGTTTATCATTTAATAAACACAGAAGCTTTCTGTTTTTGGTAGACAGTGTCCTTCAATGCATGAAATCCACGAGAAAAAAAATGATAAATGTTTGTCTGCTTTTATTATTCTCCTTCTTTATTTGTCAGCTCAGAAACATCTCTTTCTCATGAGGCTTTTTCTAACCCACCTCTCCTCAATCTCACACAGACCCTTCCTGTCATCCCTGCATTCTTCAGTGTGTCCAAAAGACCCTACACACATGATTACTACAGAAGAGAAAGAATTCCTCCACCTGGAGCCAGCAGAGCCACACACCGAACATGAAGAAATGCAGTGGAGAAATATTGGCTATTTCATTATGAACTAGAGGCTCAGTGCACGAAATTCATGCACAGGGGTAGGGGGGGAGGGGACCCCTCAGCCTGGCCTATACCCTCTCCAATCCAGGGGGATGTCCAACTTCCGGTTTAGGCCCGATCTGGATTGGGCCTAAACCGGCAGTTGGACATCCTTCTCGCAATCTGAAACTACTGGCTCCTAACCGTCCACCTGTTTGCTCCTTACTACTCAGCTTGCTGCTCTTTAGTTACAGGCTTCTTACCAGCAGACTCCTTACTGCTCAGATCGCTGCTCCTT